CTCCTCCCCCTCCCCCTCCTCCTCCTCCTCCTCCTCCTCCTCCTCCCATTTAACTTAGTGTTTTGTCGTCGGAACAAGAAGTTAGTAGGGACTTGGAGACTTTGGGGCTGTCTGGGGAATATCTGAGTTAGGTTACTTCACTTCCCAAAGCTTCAACTCGGTTTAAAATACTACTTCCATTTCTTAAGGTTATGAATATTAACACAGGAAAAGGCCTAGCCAAGCTGAAAGTAAGCGCTCAGTAAGTGCTTTAGCGTTACTGTTAGGTAGGGATTGTCTTTGTCTTGAAATGTTCGTGGTGTCCCCGAACGCCCTCTTTATTTTTGCAGTGTTGCGATATTCTGGCCTTAAATCCCTTGCCCTCGCAGAGGAGTTGCGAGCTCCCCACGCCCGGTCACAGTCACTCCTGGACAACTGCACCCGGTCCGGGACGCTACAGAGGAGTACGGGCACCAGAAGGACTAGACCAGGAAAGGGCGCGCGGTGGGGCTCAGGTCCTCTGAGTCAGGGGCCTCCGTTTGGTCTGTCCCTCCGCACACCCCTAGAAAGGAGGGTCACGCAGCAGGGGGCTGGTGAGAAAAAGGCCCCCTCAACTCGGGGCCAAGCCCCACACAATTAGGAGGTGGCGGGAGACCCGGGCGCCTTGGGGTGCGGTGTTACCCAGTGCCTTCCCAATGCCAGTGTTCAGTTTCCAAGGGCTACGAGACTCATGCAGTTGATTACCCTCTTTCCTCCAAATAAAAGGGATTCTTAGGAAAATCTCCTTGAACTTTTTCCGTGGGAGAGAGTAAGAGTTTCCAGGTAAAAACAAAAACTTTGGCCCCTTTCCTCTCCATTAGCAGGCAGGAGCGCCCGCCTCCCTTCCAGCAACCGCCCCCCATCTCCACCCAGAACTCCCGCCCGGCTTCCGGTGCAGGCCACCCGGGGAAGCGTTTCATTCGACCGCCACCTCCCACCGCTGCGGAGGCGAATGCATTTTCCATCCTTTGGGCGTCTGTTTGTTCGCTATGCAGCTGTTGGGCTCGGGGAGTCTGTAGGGACTAGGAACTCCGAAAACCTGCAGCTCCGGGCGCCCCATGCCCCGCTGGCTGATTTACAGACCCGGGGAAAAGGAAAGGCTGTGGGTTGGGGCGCGGGGGCCCAGGCAACACCTGACCCAGGCCGTGCAAAACGAGCCCAGCGAGGCGCTCGAGCAGAGAGGACTGGGGAACGCGAGGCCTCCCGCCCCCTCGCCCAGGGCCCGCTCGCGGGTGCGTGCGAACTGGCTGGCGGCCCTGAGGGGCGAGGAGGCGCGGGATTAATGCGCTATCCCAAATCGCGGTGGCCGCCAGCAGGAAGCGACAGAGGCACCAGATTTCCCTTCCGCATTAAGAGGGTTTTTCCTTTTTTTCCTGCTTGGCCGACGGAGGGCTTTTTAAATTGGACGTGGAGATCCTCAATTAGAAGTGTGGCGAAGTTGGCAAAAGAGTTCAGCGGAAAACTCCCCGCCTCGCCAAAGGAGGCTCCCGACTCCGGTTCCCGCCCTCGGCCGGGTGCGGCGCAGGCCACGAAAAGAGCTCTCCCACCTCCCCCGGACGGGGAGGGCGCATTCTTCCCTCTGCGCACTGCCGGGGCAGGCTGCAGCCGGAGCGGCTCTTTAGTTCCCGGTGTTTGCTTGGCGCAGCAAGAGGAGGGAATCCGGCGGCTCGCATTCACAGCGGTCCACGCTGAGGTTTTTCCCACCCCCCCCCCACACCCCGCGGGTTCCCTGATGGTCTCTTTATCGCTTTCTTAAAGCACATCTGTCCGACGTATTTCTGCCGCAACCGTCCGCCTTTGCTACGAGCGCGAATTGCGGAACGCGCTGCCACGTGCGATAACCAAGCTCTGCTCCCGAAGTCGGCTCCGCCAGGTACCCCCGCACCCGTCCTCGTACCCTACAGGCTGGTTCCCCTCTGCGCCCAGGACTTATACGCGCCCGGCAGGGCAAAAGGGGAGCGTCGCGGGCGCCGGCACCTGGTGGTCCCCAAGTCCAGGGCGGAAAGGACGTCCCAAGAGCCAAAAGTGCCGGCAGAAGCCGCCGCTCGCCGTGGGGCGCTTCTGGGTTCCCAGCACCAGAGGGCACCAGAAACCGCCGGAGTCCTGGAGCGCCCACGCGGCTGGGGCTGCGTTGTCATTTTAAGCATAGAACCGATGAACGAGCACTCACCCTTACAATCCTTCCCCAAATGCAAATTACCCCCCGCCCCGGAACTTCGGATGTCCTCACGAGCATCCCTGCTTTTCAGGCTCCTAGCCCTCTTCATCCTCACTAATTTTTCTCTACCCACCTCACTTAAGCTGGTTTCTCGGCAACCTGCTTTTTGAACTCCCCCCCTCCCCCGCGTCACAGTGACAGCTTCAGCGCGTGTGAGCGCTCCCGCCGCCAGTGCCCCCGCGCCTTCTTGTGTGTGGCAGGCTGGGAGGTTTGTTTAGGCTTTGCCTTCGAGATCCAGATCTCGGTCTCAGGAGGAGAAAAGGGAGGCGGGGGTGGGTGGGTGGCGGCGTGCTGTAACTCGGGGGCTTTCTTTTGGGATAGGGACAGAAGTTGCTGAAAAGATGAACTGCTTTTCTTAACTGTGTCTTGTGTCCTGGACGGACGGAGGACTTATTCTGTCGGGCCCAAGACCAGAGTAGGAAAAAGAATGAGCGCCGCCTTCTGCAGACAGTCTGGGAAGGGGTCTGTCTGTTAAAGGGCCCGAGGCCGGGTGCCAGACCCAGGGGCACCCGAACCCCTTGCGAGAGTGGGCTGGCGACGCAGCGGGCTCCCCGAACACCTGACACTTGTGGAAAAGGCGACACTGTCCCTGAACCCTGCCGAAGCGAAGACGTGGCGAAACTGTGAGGGCGAGACCTGGTCGCGGCTGGGCGGAAGCCCAGCAGCTCCCTCTTCCAGGGCTTTGCGGGAAGAGGTGCGTGCGTCAGGTTGGCAGCAGCATCTCTTCCTTGGGATACTTAAGTGTATATTCAAGATGGTCTAGATGGGTGGGATGGGGGCGGGGAGGGAGGTCCAAGAGGGAGGGGATATATGTATACATATGGCTGATTCACTTCACTGTACAGCAGAAACTAACACAACACTGTAAACCACTTATACTCCCCCCCAAATATACTGCGGAAGAGTGAAGTGCGCTCTAACACATCCGCGGCAGGGCTCGGAAGAGTTGTGTTTGTCCCCACCAATGAGCAAAAGTGCTGCGAGCGCGGGGCTGGGCAGCTCCCCCGGGGCGCGCACGTCGGCTCTGCGGGCGCGTGTGCCAGCCCCGAAACTAGGGAGGCGTCAGGAGGCTGGGGGTTCCGTCAGGAGTCATTCCCCGCCCCGAAGAGAGTTCGTTTTCACCCGGTGGGTCTGGAAACCAAACGACAGCGAAATCAGCCCTGAGGCTGTGCCAGGGTGGTGGCGGGGGTGTTACTGGGGGAGGTGGCACAGAGTACAGACGAAAGTCATTCAACCCATCACCGAGATGGCTTAGGGGAGACCTTGAGAAGGTTCAAGAGTCTGCTCGAGGCGGAGGCCCTGGTCCTGGACTGTTCAGGAAGCCCGTCTCTTAAGCTTGACGGGGATGGTGAGGTGGGATACCGGGCATTAGGAAAGTGCCAGCAACCGGGTTCCGACCAGGGCTAGGAATGTAGATTTGCAAGACCGCACCGGAGGAGGTGAGCTCTCTATTTTTAGGTTCTCAGCACCTTTGCAGCAGTCCCTCCCGGGGCCTACACTTTCTCTTGGAACAGACCAAACCCAGTTACACTCCCGTTAATGATATCTATGCAGCTGCGCGTCCACAGAGAACCCAACTCTGGTCGTGGTAGGTTCAAAGGCGATTCCAGTCCCGCACCTTCCCGGGACTTGACGGAAGAGCACCTCGCCGAGTCGGGGAGGGAAATTGCCCCTGTCGGATATGCCCGGGTCCAGAGGCAGCAGGGGCACCAGAGATTTTTGCCCGCGAGGAAAGGCAACCTGCCCCTCCGCAAACCCAGCCTCTCCCCGGTTCCACTTCTCTCTCTCTTCTGCCCTCTCGGCGCTTCGGTTCCTTCTAGTGTCCCCTCTTTCTAGTCT